CACGTCTTGGCCAGCACTTGCTATGGCTCATCCTGTGGTTCTAGTTAAGCCCCTTTAAAGTCATTTCTTTCCTAAGTGTGCGTCCGTTCTTCCCAGGCAGGTTGTGGGGATGTTGGGATTGGGGAGGTGCCTGCTCTGGGCCTTTTGTGACCACTGTTATGCCAGGACATCTTGGCACCCCTAGATAGTTTCCCCTCACACTCCCCCTAACTCCTGAAGGGTTGATGGCCCCTGCTGCCAGTTCCAGAGTAGAACATTATCTGGTCTCCACAGACTGGGTCATTCACCAACAGCCCATGTCAAGGGCCCACCTTTGCAGCAAGGAAATGGTTAACTCCCTTCCTTGCCCACCATGAGGGCATAATGCTTTCTACGTGGTCCTCCTTGCCCCAAAATACTTTGATGAGTATTTTCACCATCCTTTTGCCTTTTTTCTGAGCCTGCGACCTCTATTCTGGTCAGAGTCTTCACTGTGAAGATGAACTTGACCCTTGGAAGCTTTGAGTGTCTGGCAGTCCCAGAAAGGATGTGCCTTATCCAGACTGATGAATGTCCAGAACGATAATTGCTCAACAAACAGTGGCACCCTGGTTGCCCAAGGGTGCCAGGCAGTGTGTTGTCCCCTTAGTAAGTACAGTGTCTTACTGTGCTTATAAATGGTCTGATGCCCACTGTATAGACAAGGAAGCTGAGGTTCAGCTTCAGTAACTTGCGCACAGTCACACAGCTCATGGGTGGCCGAGCAGGGGCTGGGATCCAGGATGTCTGACTGTTGCCTGAGCACTTTTCTTCCTGGATGCACGGCCTGTCTCCTGCCGCTGCATTTTCCTGGGCATTGGGGGACCTCCCCATGTGGCTGGGATCTGCCTTTTTGGCCAGAAGCCACCTGCAGAGTGCCTGCCTCCAGTCAGTGTTCTCACAGCAGAACTGGAATAGCTCAGGGTTTCCAAAGATGCCCCCTCCTCACCTTTCCTTATGTTGCCTCTTCTACCTGGAGCACCTTCCCCTCCTGCACTCTGCTTTCAGAAGCCATGCTTCCTCTGACATTGCCTCTCAGGTGTCCTCTCCTCCAGAGAGCCCACCCTGGCTGCCCAAGGTGGGACTTCTTCCTCCCTTCGATGTTCCTCAGCTCTTCAGCGGACCCTTCACTGACCCTAGGGTGCAGGGCATTTTCTACTATGACTTGTCAAAGTCAGCACTCGGAGGACAAAACTGGGATCAGTTCATTCTTCTGGACTCTTTCAGAGCGTACACCTGCCAAGGGTTCAGAGCGTACACCTGCCGAGGGTTCAGAGCGTACACCTGCCGAGGGTTCAGAATGTACACCTGCTGTGTGTTGAGGACAGAGCTCCTGTGGATTCTGAGTGTAGACCTACTGAGGACGAGAATGAGTTTGAAGGAGGCTTGTTCAGACAGAGCTGGATGAGTCCAGGGTTGGTCCTGGCGAGGTCAGTTCAGGACTCAGGGCTGAAGGTGGCATCAGGCCTCTGCTCCTCAGCAGCAGGTCCCTCTCTGTGGAGGCCAGGGCCAGAGTTGTGGGGCCTCCAGGTGGGTGGTATGGGGTCTTCGGGTGAGTAGTGTGGGGCCTGCAGGTGGGTGGTGTGGGGCCTGCAGGAGGGTGGAGTGGGCCCATAGGTGGGTGGAGTGGGCCCATAGGTGGGTGGAGTGGGGCCCATAGGTGGGTGGTGTGGGGCCTGCAGGTGGGTAGAGTGGGGTCTTCGGGTGAGTAGTGTGGGGCCTGCAGGTGGGTGGTGTGGGGTTTATAGGTGGGTGGTGTGGGGCCTGCAGGTGGGTGGTGTGGGACCCTCAGGTGGGTGGAGTGGGGCCCACAGGTGGGTGGTGTGGGGCCCGCAGGTGGGTGGTGTGGGGTTTATAGGTGGGTGGAGTGGGGCCCACAGGTGGGTGGTGTGGGGCCCGCAGGTGGGTGGAGTGGGACCCGCAGGTGGGTGGTGTGGGGCCCTCAGGTGGGTGGTGTGGGGCCCGCAGGTAGATGCTGTGGGGCCCTCAGGTAGGTGGTGTGGAGCCTGCAGGTAGGTGGAGTGGGGCCCACAGGTGGTTGGAGTGGGGCCTTCAGGTGGGTCGTATGGGGCCCGCAGGTGGGTGGAGTGGGACCCGCAGGTGGGTGGAGTGGGGCCTTCAGGTGGGTCGTATGGGGCCCGCAGGTGGGTGGTGTGGGGCTTCCCAGGTGGATGCTGAGGGCTCCTGTGCTGAGGGAGGTGGTCCCATTCTCTTCTGCCCTGATGCCCCTGCGGCCAGAGTGCTCAGTGTCCCCTTTTCTGTTTTAGGATTCACTGTTCATCCTGGTGACAGGTGGGTGCTAGAGACTGGCCGCCTATATGAAATCACCATCGAGGTTTTTGACAAGTTCAGCAACAAGGTCTACCTGTCAGACGTGAGTTCCTGCTCAAGTCCTGGCTGGGGAATGAGGTGGGGTCATTGCCTGACTCAGCTGCTGAAGAGCAGCCCCCAAAGCAGCAGGAGCCCCCATGCAGGTCAATCGAGGAGGAATCCTGTCTCTAGTGGCATTCCCGTGCCAAGGCATCCCAGGACATCTCCAGAGCCTGTGAGCCTGCACACCAGCCCTGCCACAGAGCCCCTGCAGGGCTGGAGGGCAGAGGGTGCCAAAGTGGCAGGGCTCCAGGAAAGGGGGATAGGGAGGAGGCCTCTGCCCGCCACCCACCCGCCTCCGTCTCCCAAGCTGGAGGGGGCGACCTCAGAGACTGAGAATCCATTCTCTACCTGCCCTGCAGAGGGTCAGGGAGCACATTCTGGCTTTCTCCCTGCTGAGCTCCAAAAACACCTGGAACCCTGTGTGACAGAGGCCAAGCTCAGAACGCTTTCTGGTTCTGGAAAGGGGTGTCAGATGGGGAAATGTGCATGTGTGAAGGTAAATCTGAGCGTGAGTGAGTAGGTTTCTGAGTGTGTGAACTGTGGGTATGAATGGTGTGTGTCTGGAGGCCCAGAATCAGACTGTCGAGCTGAATCATTCACACTCCACAATCCAGCCCCTTTATACAAACTGGAAGACTGAGGCTGGGCAGTGGTGGTGGGGAAAGGGTCACATCCAGAGTTTGAAGGAGAGTCAGGTCCAGGCCCAGACAGGAGTGCCTGACCCCTGTCCTCCCTCCCATCCGTTGCTGCTGCACGTGTGTCTATGTTGGGAGCACGCTGCGTCCACCCTGCCTTGGTGCAGCTGGGAGCATGGCCGCCCCACGTCCTGTGCTTAACTCGCAGCCAGAGACTCAATGGACACACTAGATGGCAGGGGCTGTGAGCCAGGCAGGCAGGGTGCTCCGGAAGGAGCCCTAGGGAGGGGTCTAGGGAGGCCGGCCAGGGCAGGAGCCACCAGGGGGCCAACATAGCAAGTCCTTAGTCATGAGGACTTGTGGTCAGCAAAACAGCCAGTGGGGCTGAGCGATGAGCAGAGCAGACGCGTTCAGAGCCCTGGTAGGGGTCAATGGCAAAGGCTCCGGGAGACTTTACACTACATCAGGTGAGAAGCCATTGGAGACCTTTTGGCAGAGGCAAGACCCACCACTCAGACTTCAGTGTTGGGGCTGTGCGGAGAGAACTTGAGGCTGGGGGAAAGGATGGAGAGGTGGGAGCTCAGCCGCTGTGGGAGCAGTTCTGGGGTAGACGGGCAGGAAGCCATAGGTTGGATGAGAGAGTCAGGAAATCAGGAGCAGTCCCACCTCTGGGCAGAATCACTGGCAAAGGTTTGGGAGGAGCGGAGTCTGTGTTGGCCACACCCAGACTCCAGGTGGGCATGGCAGGAGGAACGGGATGCAGGGGTCTGCAAGGGAGAGAAGCCAACCTCGGGCAGGAGAAAGGACCTGCTCATCAGGGTACTGGTGGTGTTTGCAGCCCCGGGACTGAATGTTCCTGAGAGAGGGAGGAAGGAGAAAGCACAGCAGCCACAGAGCCCCTTCCAGATTCTGCCCCCCAAAACCCACTGCTCACCCGCCAGAGCCTCCTCCAGACTGGCCAGGCCCAGGGAAGGGGCAACTCAGGTGCTGGGCACATGGTCTTGCCCTGGTCTCTGCTAGGCCCTGGCCACTTCCAGAAGCTCCTTTTCTCATATTTGGCATTTTTGTTTCTGTTTTTTTGGTTGAGGACCTGGGACCTTCCCCACCTACGGTTTCCTTGGTGGATGATGCAGAAAGGGTGAGCAGGAGCGTGGGGGGTGAGAGGCACCCTGAAGCCTGCAAGACCTCAGCCTGAGTCCTGGTCTCCTGGCTAACCCCCTCCCCAGGCCTCAGTTGCCTCCTCCATATCATGAGGGCAAGTGGAAGATCCCACTTGGTCCCTGCCAGCTCCCAATGCCTAGGATTAGTCTTCCTGAGCCCTGGGCCACAGGCAGCCTCCCTCTTGGCAAAAGCCTCCCCTCCACCAACAGACCAAGGAGCCATCCCCTGCCCGTGTGCCCGAGGCTGGCTTGGGGTCTGAGCTCATCCTCTGTGTCCTCCCCCAAGGCCTGGACAGCACTGCCCCGCCCACAGGGCTCCAGCCCTGTGCTGACTTCTCCCCTGCGTTCCCAGCCTGGTCCTTGGGGGCATGGTGGCCGGGAGCCTGGCCACTCTCCTCAGCCACCTGGACTGCGGCTCCACTTTGTGAGTGGCTGTGCTGGCTGTGGTGCCCAGGCCTTCTCTCCTGCATCTCTTCTCCTCAGATTTCACGAAGGAGGCCACACCTGGATCCTACCTTCCTCCCTGACCCTGTTCCTCTGTCTCCACTAGAGCATCCTCCCTTCCCCCAGCACAGATGACCCAGGAGTGTCCCCGGCCCAGCCTGTGGCTACAGCCACCTCCAGAGTGGCACCTCCAGCAAACTCCTCTCCCCACAGTGGCTGCACAAAAGGCTGAGCAATGGCCCTGTCACCTGTGGCTTGGGCTCCTTCAGGGGCATTGCTTCTGCTCACCCTTTGACTTTCCAGAAGACCCGCTCAAGCCCCTTGTATTAGTCCATTCTCACAAAGCCATACAGAAATACCTGAGACTGGGTGATTTTTAAAGAAAAGGGGTTTAATTGGCTCACAGTTCCGCAGGCTGTACAGGAAGCACAGGGCATCTGCTTCGTGGGAGACCTCGGGAGCTTTTACTCATGGCAGAAGGTAAGTGGAGCGGGTGTCCTACCTGGCAGGGGCGGGACCAAGAGAGGGAGTTGGGGGAGATGCAACATGCTTTCAAACAACCAGATCTCACGATAACTCACTATCATAAGGACGGCACAAAGGGGATGGTGTTAAACCATTAGAATCCAGCCCCATGATCCGATCTTCTCCCACCAGGACCCACCTCCAGTACTGAGGATTAAAACTGAACCTGAAATGTGGGTGGGAACACAGATCCAAACCCTATCAACCCCTCTGGACCACCATATCAACCCCTCTGGGCCACCATATCAACCCCTCTGGGCCACCATATCAACCCCTCTGGGCCACGGCCGGGCTGCCTCCCCTCTACCTGGTTCTGGAGCCCGCTCTTCTGGGTTTCCTGCTCCCATCCCATCTCTGTGCACCACAGTCACTCCAGCTGTGGCCACCATGTTCCTCTCCCAGAGTCCCCTCTGCGAATCCTCAGAAAGCTCCTGCTCCTGGGCACCCTGATCAGTGGTGTGGCACCCACAGCTGGCTGCTCCTCTCATGTCCTCCATGCAGCCTAGCCTGGAAATAGTTGTAAGGTCTCTGCAGGCTCTGGGAGATGTTTTCAGAAACCCATCCGGGTTCTCTGTCAGGAAATTCACATGGTCCATCCTCAAAGGGATGGAGGCCTCAGGTCCTCAAGGTTGTCCTGTGCCCTGGAGACAGTCCACTCATCTGGTCCTTCCTGGGAAAGGAGCCCATCCTCCTCTGCAGGGACCTGGGCTGCAATCTCTCTTCTCACTTTTCTTGGGGTACCCAGTGCTATGGAGGCAAAGGCTGTTTCCTGGCTCCATGCCCCTGCCAGCCTTCCCCCAAAAAACCCATCCAGGCTCACTGTTTCCTCCTCTAGGGCTTATTTCTTCCTCTCTAGGGCTTATCCCTTTGTCAGGGTAACAAAATGGGTTATGTGCGTGAAAGGGGTGAGCTGGAAAAAAGGGGAGGCACTGCCAGCCCTCACCCAGAGAAGCCTGCTTGGGCCCAAGGCCACAAATGCACCCACCCACCCCCCCTGTCAGGGCCTCTTGTTCTGTACACCTGTAAATGTGCCTGTTCCTCCCTCTGGGAACCACAATTCACCAGCGTCCTATCCCCAACCTCCTTACACCTCCATCGCTTTCCTATGCCGGGCCTCAGGAGACTGTTTCCTGCCTGCACCCCTGCCACTCCCCAGCCCCAGCCCCACTCCTGTGCCCTACATCACCTACCCCCAAAGGAATCCCCTCTCATACCCGAGCATCTCACCCTGGTCTCAGCTTCCCCAAGTAGAGACTGCACTGGCTTCAACAAAAACTGCCCTGTGCCTCCCCTGCACCTCCAATACTAGAGTCCGCAGAGCTTGGGCCACCAGGCTTGCACAAGCCCATCGGGGAGGGTGGAACCCGGGACCATTCTCCAGGACTCGGTCTCCTTTGCTGTGTTCCCGCCAGCCAGCATTTCCCTGCTCACGGGAGAGGGAGAGGGGTGCGCCCAGGAACTAAGAGCGAATCCCTTCCCCATCCTCTCACAGGAACTCCTTCCGGTGTCACAGCCTCACCCCCGCCCACCCTGTCCCACCCTGGAGCCCCCATTCGGCTTTGGGAGGACCTGCAGCAGCTACTTGTGCATCACAAAATGAGGCCCTGGGAACATCAGCGGCGACGGGGTGGGGGTAGCGGCGAGGCTGTGTCCCCAGAGAGGCCCTGCCGTAGTCCTCCATTCTCCGGGTTGTGCCCAGGCCCCGAGAGGCACAACAAGACCCCATGGGTGCAGCTGGAGGGTGCCTCCCACTCGCCATCCCCTTTGGATGGGGCGGAAAACCCCCAAGGAAGTCCTAGCGCAGTTCACGTTGCCCCAGCCGACCACGTGAGGGCGCGCCCTGTGTTAGTTTGGACAAATTAAAGCTCCTCTTGCGGGCAGGCCTGGAGCCCCCCAGGCCGGGTCAGGGCTCGGGTGTCCGTGGCATTCTCTGGGCTGCCGGCCGCCAAGCTCCTGGCCGTGGGTCCTCCCCTGGGGCCCGCGCTATTGGCCTCCAAACGAGGTGCCCCCCTCCTCTCGCGCTCCCGCAGCCTAGGGTGCACCTCTCCGTTCGCCTTTGCTGAGCTCTTCCAGGACGCAAGCCGCCTCTCCACTGCGTTGGGAGCTCAGGCCCCGTCTGGGGCGCCCCGCTGCGGGCGCAGTGGCGCTGGAGAGGCGCGGTCCGAGTAGCCAGCGGCCAGAGAAGGGGCTCCAAGAAGCACAAGTTGGAGCTGGCCCCGGACCAGGCTGTTGTTGTTCTCAACGTGGTCCGCCATGAACCTATAAAAAGCCGAGAGACTCGCCCTCTTCGCCAGAGCGCAACGCGCACGCTCAGCGAGCTCTGGAGGCGCTAGTGGAAGCAGCGGCGGCCGCGCGCGTTCGGCGGGATTCCTCTTCTCTTCGGCTCGACTTAGGTCTGCGTCCCCAGCTCCAGCCGCCGGCTCGGACTCAGTCGCCGACCCCAACTCGGTCCCCTAACCCGGCCCCGGCTCCGGGCCCCCCAACCCTCGCTCCGGCCCGGCCCGGCCCCCACCCCAGCCCTGCCGCCCGGCCCCAGGCCCGGCCGCGGCCGCTCCCGCCTGGAGCCGCCGCGCGCCCCCAGCCCCCCTGCACCCCCTCGGCCCCTCGCCTTCCTTTTCCCGGCGCGGCCTCCCGGCTTCCGCGCGCCGCCGGCCACCAACCCGCTTGCTACCATGTCCGTGGAGCTCGAGGAGGCCCTGCCGGTGACGACCGCCGAGGGAATGGCCAAGAAGGTGACCAAAGCTGGCGGCTCGGCGGCGCTCTCCCCATCTAAGAAAAGGAAGAACAGCAAGAAGAAGAACCAGCCGGGCAAGTACAGCCAGCTGGTGGTGGAGACCATTCGTAGGCTGGGCGAGCGCAACGGCTCGTCGCTGGCCAAGATCTACACCGAGGCCAAGAAGGTGCCGTGGTTCGACCAGCAGAACGGGCGCACTTACCTCAAGTACTCCATCAAGGCGCTGGTGCAGAACGACACGCTTCTGCAGGTGAAGGGCACCGGCGCCAACGGCTCATTCAAGCTCAACCGCAAGAAGCTGGAGGGCGGCGGAGAGCGGCGGGGAGCCCAGGCGGCCGCCACCGCCCCAGTGCCTGCCGCGCACAAAGCAAAGAAGGCGGCCCCGGGCGCGGCCGGCTCCAGGCGCAGCGCAGACAAGAAGCCCGCCAGGGGCCAGAAGCCGGAACAGCGCTCGCACAAGAAGGGCGCTACCACCAAGAAGGACAAAGGCGGCAAGGCTAAGAAGACGGCGGCCGCAGGGGGCAAGAAGGTGAAGAAGGCGGCCAAGCCCAGCGTCCCCAAAGTACCCAAGGGCCGCAAGTGAGCCCGCCGGCCCGGTCCGAGTGGCCGGCATGGGCTTTTTGGTGTTTTTGTTTTTCTACCCCAAGTGACGTAGATTTTGTAAGGCTTGCCCTGGTTGGGGCCGCGGGGCCTGTCTCAGCCGCAGGGAGGGGCCCCGAGTCCTCTCCGTCCCTCCCCTCCCCCGACGATGTAGCAGCGTTTTTCGTTGTTTGCTTTAGGTTTTTGAAACAGCCCTGGCGACGCCTCTATTGGCTCTCGGCCTTGGCAACGGCCGTCGTCATGGTTACTGGCCCCTAGGCGCCAAAATCCGAGGCCGCGCCTGCCCACCCGGGCTGGGTCCGCTGGTTGGCCGAGCCCAGGCGCGCGGGTACGCGGTAGTAGCCGCGCATCCCTTCCTGGCTTCCCCACCCTCTCTGCCTTTGGGTGCGCGACAAACAATCGCTCCGGGCTCAGGGCTGCGCGGCGCTTCCCTTCATTCCGTGGGTCTTTTTTGGGCACAATAAAGCGTTTAAACCTTTCAGTCTGGTTTAATCTGAGTGGAATATAGATGTGTGCCTCCCGCACGCAGGGTTGGATGGGGGGACCCCTCGGATCATAATACCCCAATCTGTTGACCATGGTTAAGCCTAGAGCCAGGGGCCTTAAGCAAGAGGGGAATTGCTGGCCTGTAACGAACTTAGGGTAAACTGGGGCAGGGAGGTAGACAAGTTCGGTCCCTTGGGAGGGATAGACCTGTTTGCCCCCACACTGGTCCATCGACCATTGTGGGGGGGGCGCGAGAAGAGGGGGGGCTAATGGGCTTTCATGGTTAATGGTCAGGGCCCTGCCGGGGAGCTCAGCTCAGCCTCTAGCAAGGGAGGTATTACAAAATCCCACCAAACTGGCCCTTTACAGAGCTTCGTTTTTCTGGCTACAGTGGGGGTGAAATGTGACGGGGATAGGTGTGGTGTCCAGAAAGGTGGAGTTCCCAAGCATTTACCTCAGGCAAAAACAACCCAAAGTGTCTCAGAAGGGTATTTGCCCTCTGAGCCTATTGGTTAATCTAGAGTACAGACGGGACCCAAAGGATTGCTGGGAAAATTAGGAGCAGAAGGATTCCCAGCCCTGGGACATCCTGCTGTCCAGCATATGGAATAGTTGTCCAGTTGGGTAGCAGGCCAAGGTCTATTCTGACAGATGTCTAAGAATGGACAACTGCAAAACAGGCTTCTTGGGGCAGTGGAAAAACGGGGAAGGTTCTACAACAGTGGGTAGTCTTCAGCGAGAGTGAGCCTGGACTGGGTTAAGTGAGAATGCAGGAGAGCTCCTTTTACCCCCTTGTAAGATAATCCAGAAACTACAGGTGCGGGCAGGGCCTCCTGGCAATAGATGAGGGGAGGGAGCATTGCTGGAGAGGAGCCCCAGAGGTAGCCTGTTGCTACCCCTGAACTGGGCCTGGCAGACCTCTCTGCCACCTGAGTGAGTGGCCACTCCACTCCCTCTGCAAGTCTTCATAACCCCGTGGGGGCTCCCCAGCTGTTTCCTGCCTCACTGAACCAGGTGCCAGTGGGAGTTCTACCTGCCCTGTTCTGGGCCAAGCGTTGAGGACACAGCAGTGGACAAAACCAGCCCAGGTGCCTGCCCTGCCCAAGCTTTCTGGCTAGTGTGGAAACAGTGAATGATGAGGGCAGAGGCACCATCATAAAAAAACAGACAGCTGTGGCTGTTGGGGATCTGAGGGCCCGTGAGCAACCGGGAGTCAGGTGGGCCTAAGCTGGCGGCTCCACCCCTGCTGCCAGCTCATGTCCAACTAGGAGTTGTCCAAATCTCAATCTCTGGAGCTGGGCCTGGGAATCAGCCTTCTGACCAGCTCCTCAGGTGGTTCTGGGTTCAGAGAGGGCTGGGAAGGGCTGCAACAGGGACCATGGGCACCAAGGCCTCAGACATCTGTCCTCTGTGGATGCCGCTCCTTCCTGCCTGCCTGTTCAAGTGCCCCATGACCACTGAGTTTTATCCCTCCCTTAACCTCCCTCCCTAATCAAGGCCTCCACTTTGCTAACCATCTGTCCTTTGAGGACATCCTGTGATGTCCAAGTGCCAGCCCAGGCCTGTCCCATGCTGCTTGCAGGGTCAGCCAATAGGCCTTTAGCAGCTAGGGTCCAGGAGAGGCCTTGGCACACCCAGGATTCTAAAGAGATGATGCTGCTGGCCAGCTAAATCCAGTGCACCAAAGTGCCCTTCAAGCTGTCCTTATTCCTCATTGCCTTTCCATCTACCCTTTGCTGTTCATACCACCTGCCTCCACTAGTGGCTTCCTCCTCTGATGTTGCCTCCCACCCCTGCCTCCTGTCACCCGCTCTGCATTCCTTGGCATGGGCCCCAGCTTGCTATCTTCCCCACCCTGAGGCTTGCACCCTCCTCCAGGGGCACTTAAGACCAGCCCTCAGCTGGACGGGCCTTCTACTTTGCTGATATTGTGAGCTTCCCTTGGGGACTCAAGTGGTCACATGACCCAAGACTTGGCCAATAAGTGTTCAGTCAGTTGTTCACTTAGCCACAGTGATTAGGTCAGAAATGGGTTCCTGATCCAGAGGGTTCAATGCAAGTCAATCCTGGGACTTTTCCTGGAACTGCTGAGAAACAGGTGCTCTTTCGCTGGGATCACTAAATGTTAGGGACATGGGTCCAGAGTTGCCAGTGATTATCTTTGTCAACATACAGGGAGAGCCCCCCTGAATAATAAGCCAAGACAGAGAAAGTTGGAGCCAGAAAATGGACAGATGCTTAATGACATTAACGTAACTTCTGGATCAAGCCATGCCTGAAGCTTGGATAGCTGTGACTATTCTGTGAGCTTATACATTGCTTTTTGCATACATTAGTTTGAGTGGGGTTTCTGTTGCTTGCGTCCTGGTCTCTCACTCCTTTGTCTCACCTTACCCTCCCCACATGCCCATCCTAAACCTTGTCATCCTTTCAGATTGCTCTTCCTCTGAACCACCCTTCTAGTGTCCCATTCTCTGCCCACAGTCCCCTCCCCTCCATTTTTCCCAGCTTGGTCACTTGGCCCCTTCAGGTGAGTAGCTTTCTGACTTTATGGAACGTCTGTGAGTAGGTCCCACATCCCTGAGAGGTGCCCTAAGTTGAAGCCATATGACCACAACCAGCCACACCTGAGTACTCACTGCTCACTGTCTGGTGCTTTGAGGACTCACAGGTCTGATCTCAACCTCAACACAACCCCAATCTTGAAACAGAGTGTTCAAGAGCCAGTTTGGTTTTTTTTTTTTTTTGAGACGGAGTTTCGCTCTTGTTACCCAGGCTAGAGTGCAATGGCGCAATCTCGGCTCACTGCAACCTGGGTTCAGGCAATTCTCCTGCCTCAGCCTCTTGAGTAGCTGGGACTACAGGCACACACCACCATGCCCAGCTAATTTTTTGTATTTTTAGTAGAGATGGGGTTTCACCATGTTGACCAGGATGGTCTCGATCTCTTGACCTCATGATCCACCCGCCTCAGCCACCCAAAGTACTGGGATTACAGGCTTGAGCCACCGCGCCCGGCCGGTTTTTTGTTTTTTTTTTTTTTTTGAGATGGAGTTTCGCTCTTGTTACCCAGGCTGGAGTGCAATGGCACGATCTTGGCTCACCGCAACTTCCTCCCTCAGCCTCCTGAGTAGCTGGGACTACAGGCACGCGCCACCATGTCCAGCTAATTTTTTGTATTTTTAGTAGAGACAGGGTTTCACCATGTTGACCAAGATGGTCTCAATCTCTTGACCTCGGGATCCACCTGCCTTGGCCTCCCAAAGTGCTGGGATTACAGGCGTGAGCCACTGCACCTGGCCCTCAAGAGCCAGTTTTATTGATGCAGTTGCTGAGACTCTAGGAGGCCACACAGCCAGCAAGTAGCCAGATCAGGATTCAGACCTGCTCTATGAAGCTCCAAAGCCTGTATTTTTCTGCCCTGATGCTCAGCTCCCACAGGGGCCTGGGAAGTCCAGGATCCACCATTTACTTACTACGTCTCCTGGACTTGGCTTCAAGGAGCCTCACTTTCAGTTGAACATTGAAGGCACTTGACACTGTGAGGCTAAGGAGGAGGGCTTTCTAGAGGAGGTAACCCTGGTAGCGCAAGGAGGCAAAGGACTTGTGTGTAAGACAGCCTAGGCTTAAGCTCTCCTCTGCAGGCTAGTGTGGATTAGTATTAAATATCAGGAGGGGGCAGGTGGGAGCAGGCCTGTGCTAGATGCTACCATAGTGGACCTATCTCCACTATGATCTTTGGGACTGAGGCAAGATTGTTCTCCCTAAGTCTGTTTCCTCATATGTAAACGGTGCTAAGAAAGACTTAAAAATCACTCATCTGCTAACTAGGCAAAGTCTGATCACACTGCCTCTGGCCAGGATCTCCAGCCTCTGCACCCCAATCTTTTGTATCCCCCTGTGGTTAGCACCCTACCTATCACCAGGGCTACTCTGCTTGTGATGTTGCCTCCTCCCTGTGAGCCTCCTCAACATCTCATGTATGCCTTCTGGGTCCCCCAGTCTGCCTTCTCCCTGGCCCCAGGACACCTCTGCAGACTGCAAAGACCCCATCATAGGGTGTGTAGCCTTAGTGACTGGTAGAAGGGGATTTCCAGACAATGACCCTAGACCAACCTGACCTAAAGCTGTCTCTCTGCCAGAGCAGGGTTTGGAGCTGAGCACAGGGGCTGTTGGGGAGAGTCTGAGCTCCTAGCACAAGGGGTGCTACCATCTCACTGTCCCAGTCATCAGATCTTGGGTGATGTGGCCCAGGGCATATTAGCTCTTCCAATAGCTCCACTAGTTATGGGGAGGGAAAGAGGTCCTGGTTCTTCCCATAGCCACTGCTGTTAGGGCTACTTACACTTGCAAGCTGGGGGTGGTGACACTTGCAGAGAGAAGTGGGAGAACAAAACATCTCATATGCCAACGGCTTAGTCCACAGTCCTTCATTCAACACCTACTGGCTGGGTCCCCTTCTCTTGGACTGTGCCAGGCTGGGGGTGAATGGGAGCAGAGGCAGTGATGGGACTCGGCCACTTGCAGAAGGACAGATAAACCAGCAGGTTCCTGGTAGGGACATTCCAGACTGGAAACCCCACAGTAGCACAGGCTGCCGGTTTTGGGAAATGGTGAAAGGTATAGTGGTAAAAGCAGTGACGGAGATGTGACAAGGCATGAGGCCAGTCAGCAGGGCTTCAGGTTCCCACGTCAATTCAATGAAGAAGGAAAACCAGGGAACTGGTTTGCACAACTGTAGGGGCTGATTAAGCAGTTTCTTTGAGGCTGTATCTCCAGGACTGATGGATCTTGAAGTCCATAGGCAGGTGGTTAGGAGCGGAAGACGATGAGCACATGAGCTACCGAAACCCCACTAGCACAGAGGGGACCCATGAGGACAGACTGAAGCCTGTGTCTATTCTTGTAGCCTCTGACCTCACTGATGAAGATAGAAGCTGGGACCCTTAGTCACAGAGCTAAACATGCACACACCTGGCCCAGGAGTCAGGAAAA